TTGGGGAAGGATTCATTGTATTGCGTGGGCAGGATACTGTCAGGTTGCCCAGGCCTAGACAGGAGAACGATTAGGGTTCTCAACCAAAGCCTTTGGTTCAAAAACCTGGCCGCAAGGCAGCGGGTTTGGCACTGGACTACAAGGAGTTCGTTTTAAGGAATAAGGAGCCACCCTCATTCCAACCCCCAACCTGGAGGACCAGGAGGCTGAGTTTGTCTGGCCTCTAACCATTGACCAATCTGGTATGAGTGGCTCTGAAGGCGCAAAAGCACCACCCAGTATAGCTCAATGGATCACTGAGGCACACAAACCATCGCACCACGGTAAGGTCCAGCCTCATTGCGATGCCCGCACAACACATTAGCCTTGTAAACCTTCCAAGTATTTCCACTATTTGTTTTCCCCTTTTTGTTGTCGTTAACTATGTGTTGTGGCACCACCAACTGTATATTGGTCAGGTGTTGAATAATAATAATCATAATAACACCCAGTCCCCACTTCTATTCATTGTTGCCTAAGCGGTACGTCAGTCATTTGAACTGGTGCTTCGCTGCCATACAACCACGATGACCTATTGAATAAAGTATAATAGGGAGAGAAGGGATCTTAACTGAGAACCTTAATGCCCTAAGCAAACATTCGGTCTCTTCACAGTCTCTGGAACTTATAGATGCTCGCCGGCGTATTCCGGCTGGAAGCGAACACAATGAAACTCGCAAAGTGTTCCGGGCAAAACTTCGTGCTAGCCTGAAGAGAGACCGCGAATTCTGGTGGTCTCATCGTGCATCAGAGATGGAAATGGCCGCCGCCCTTGGTAACCATCGCAAGTTATTCCGTCTGATACGGGAAACGGGCAGCAGGAGACCTGGTGTTATTGAAACAATTTGTGATGAGAGTGGATAGCCTGTCCACAACTTATCAAAACGCTTAGAGCGTTGGGCTGAGCACTTTGAAAGGCAATTTAATCGGTCGGAATGGTTAGATTTCTCCCCGGCCACTGATCGCCCTGCTCCCTGGGCTGTCCCTTTGGATCCACCCTCTCGCTCAGAAGTCGAACGTGAAATCGGACTGTTGAAGTTAAATAAAGCCGCGGGACCTGATGGCCTTCCTCCAGCCCTTTTCAAATTCGGGGGACCTGCTCTTGTGGATGATTTACACGAGTTACTAGTCAAACTGTGGGAGCAGGAAACTGTCCCAACCGATTGGAGCCGCTCCATCATAGTCCCAATTTTCAAAGGAGGCTCACGATCGGAATGCGGCAGCCATAGAGGAATCAGTCTGATCTCGATTGCCTCCAAATTGCTTGCCTCTGTCATCCTTCACAGACTGACTGGCACTCGTAAAAGCCAGGTTCGTGAAGAGCAAGCTGAATTTCGTCGAGGTCGTGGCTGCATTGACCACATCTTCACCTTGCGTCAGTTGTTGGAGCACCGTCACATAGATTGGCGGCCCACCGTTGTCGTGTTCCTCGATATCAAAGGTGCATTCGACTCGGTGGATAGACATGCACTTTGGGACTGTCTACTCAGGAAAGGTGTACCTGAGAAATATGTGAATATTATCCGAGCATTATATGCGCGTAGCTCGGGCAGAGTGAGGGCTTACGGCAAGTTGTCGTCGCCCTTTAATATCTCCAGTGGCGTGAGACAAGGATGCCCGCTGTCACCTTTCCTCTTCAATTTTGCTGTTGACGAAGTCATGGAAATCGCGTTTACAGGACACGACTTAGAAGGTGTGGATCTGCTCCCAGAAGAACGACTTCTTGACTTAGAATATGCTGATGATATTGCCCTAATCTGTGACAGCTCACAAACGTGCCAAGCGGCACTGGACAGATTAGCACTAGCTGTCCGTCACTTCGGACTTTGCTTCGCACCCTCAAAGTGCAAAGCGTTCCTCCAAGATTGGTCTGGACTGCCTCCTACGCTGACCCTTGGTGGGGATCAGCTAGAAGTCGTTCAAAAATTCAACTACCTGGGAAGTTGTATCAGCGCCCGTGGGATTGAAGATGAGAGCACGAATCGTATAGCAAAAGCTCGGAGCGCTTCTGCTAATCTTCGCCACTTATGGCGCTGGCGCGACATCACACTTGCCCTGAAGGGTAGAGTGTACAATGCAGCGGTACGTTCGACCCTACTGTACGGTTGTGAAACCTGGCCGCTTAAAGCAGCGGACCTGAAGAGGCTAGTTACGTTCGACCACCGGTGCCTTCGTAATTTAGCTCACGTTTGGTGGGAACACCGCGTGAGTAACGAGCGTGTTCGGCGCCTCGTTTACGGCACAGGAAAAGGAACTGAACCGCTCAGCACCGTTATTTCACGCATCAGGCTCCGATGGCTCGGCCACGTGTTACGCATGCCAGCCCACCGACTCCCGCGACGTGTGTTGTTTGCGCGCCGGGGGTGTGGATGGAAGAAGAGGAGGGGTGGCCAAGCGATGACTTGGTCCAGAGGAATGTAGGCCCTCACTTCTGAGATGGCCTCGGTTGGAGCGTCTCGGCTCCCTGGTTGGGGTCCGAAAGACGATGAACACGTTTGGTTGGACACACTTGCTGATATGGCTAGGAGCCGACCTCAGTGGCGTTCGTGCTGTTAGTTTTTTTGTCCCACCCCATCCCTCTTAACCTCCTCCTCCAACCACGATCTCATTATTTAGGCTCATATAACTTGGCATAGTTATTTTTTGGTGCACAGCAGCCGGCTGGTAGCTTACCGGAACGATGCCCATCCGTTACCGGTAGCTCAGCCAGCTTGCACCAGTTGCTTTTTTTCTCTCCTTTTTTCTATGTATTGCGGCGCAGTAGCTGAGGTGTTCCCCACCTCCAGCTAACGTGTAGTATGATGTGATGATGATGATGACTCCAGTACGAGCGACATTTCTGGATGGAACCACACCACCTTTAACTTATGGCAATGTGGTCAATTTGGGTCCATCGCTAGCCAGCTACAGAAGGACCCCAACTTTGCACTTCGGCACCCACTATGTCTAAAAACAGTGCTACTAAATCGGAAACTTCGAAAAGCTAAATAACTTGCTCATAGTTTTAGACACGCAGCAATCTACGCAGCCACATTTCCTTGAGAAATGAGGCGTCTACCATGACGGGTTTGGCTAAACATTGCATCTTTCGCAATAGCTGTGATGGCTTGACGTCACCCAACTTCGTTTCGCTCAGAAGGTTTGTGACAGGCTGATGTTCTGAAAGACCCGTTCTTTTGAAAACCGCTGCTTTTATTTCCTCGTACGTTTTCATCTCAGCTGGCAGATCGAGGATGTCGTCAACGACGCATGGAGGAAGCGCCGAGACGATGTGAAAACATTTGATCCTTTCAGATCTGATGCCACGTAGTTCAATTACTTTTTCTAACTGAGCAAAACAATGTTTAGGATTGCTTTCATGAAATGGCGCAGTGGCGATGGTTACCTTTTGACCTGACCGTCGTTAATTAAGTTATACCCGTCCGTGACAAAAACAATACAAAGCAAGTGATATAAAACCCGAAATATGCACAGAAAGTAAAAATGAGTGGACGTACCGCAGTAGTTAACGCACCTGCAAAGAAATATTAGTCTTACCAAATTTTCGGTCGGGGTCACCAATTATAACGGATTCGTTCGGTCCCTCTAAATTCAGGCTCGTCCCGCCTCAAGGAAAAGTGGGAAAAGACGAATATAAGGTCGAGAGAGACGTTTATTATCAAAACGTGCAGTCCCGCTTGTTAAAGGCACCGCAAAAAGGATCTAGCTTGGGGGAAGGTGTAGTCGCCAGTCGAGACGCATCGAACGCTCTTCGAAGCGGAAAGCCAGAAACGCACGAAATGCGGTTCATCTGGGTGACTCAACCACACGTAGTCATTATTCAAACAGACATATTTCCTAAGTTGTCTAGGTACAACACAATATTATATTTTAACAAAATTTTACACGGACCTACTGGGGTTGCTCGGCTTATTGTAAAGGCCTTTCTTTCTTTCTCACCTTTGTTCCTTTTACTTGAATTATTATTATCTTGGCGAGAAGTGTCAAGACAACTGCTCACTTTGCACTACTGGTTGAGGTAGGGATACTTAGGTGAAACTGTGCATTGGATAACGGGAAGCGACACGCATAAAGGCTTGTAGCATTGGAAGTAACGTTTGCGGAAGTAGGATTTAGCTTACAAAAAGGGACTATCAATAATTGAAACTATTTTTCGGAAACAAACAGCAGTTTAAATTCTCTCCCGTCATCTTTTGATCAGTTCACCTACAAATGACTCTTCCACAATAGATTCATCTTGCAAGAACCCACGGGGAGAACCGGCTATTATTATCAGTAAATAATTAAATGGTATATTCCTCGGTGATGCAAGGCGCAGTCCAACTATGTTGTCTGATCAATCAACCATATGCGTCAGCTCCGACCATCAACCGTTCCATATATCTTTCAATTCTCTCTCAGAGGCTGCATAATGTGCGCCGTTTCTACATGCATTCTTAGTGCATATGCATCGGCCACGTCCAAACGTTCCGATTCCGTTGGGGCGTTGGTATGATCCGCTTTTGGTCTGTTAGCGTCTGACCGTCTTTCTTGATACTTGTGTGCTACTGACACTTGGCGCAGTAGTTCCTGCGTTTCACCCACCACAGTATGTGTATTGATCGACCGCACTTAGCCTATTTTTCTTTTTTCCTTCTATCCAACCTCCATATTTGTTTACATCCGTAGCACTTGTTCAGCCCAGTTATATCTACCTTATCGACTTCCACCGTTTATCGCTCCATTCATCAGCCTTCCATCGTAGGTTCGCAAATGCAGTCCAGGCTGTTGAAACGTACCCGTCTTCTGACACGGAACACGTTTATATACTGACAACAGGCTTGATGTTCACTAACTCGTTATCCGGCCATTGTTTTATGGATTACAACGAATTCCCTTTATATGCATTTTACCATTCACAACTAAAAAATCGCTATATCCGGTGCCAAATTTAACTCTTACTTTGATTTGTTCAAATTTCAGCCTTTTATAATACAAATTATGCCAAATGGTACAGGGTGATCTGTTTGTGGTGGAGGTTTCTGCGTGTACTGTGAATTTGGATTCTCATTTGGAGTCGAGCGAAATTGGTGCAATAGTGAAATTTTTGAACTTTCAGCCCTTTGAATTTTTCCGAGCGGTGGAATCTTCCGAGAGGAACGAAACAAGTGTATGTAAACGGTAACCGGACATTTCTCACACGTATGATCAGTTTTTAAAAAAAATACTTGCTACAGATTCACGATAGCTTGGAACATAGAACGTATGATTGTGGATCCTACTCTATTTTTCCACAACACGGATCACATGAGCTATTTCAGTGACGTTTTTATGCTATTGCTATGGTGAGATTTCTTCTTGACACTAACTAGAAAGTTCGACTGTAACCGCAGTAGCTTATAGTGGAAAGTTAAACATAGTTTTTGAAGATCGACCCAACCGGCTGTTAGCACATCAACTTTTCATTGCGCGTCAGAAATGGAGGTGGATGTAAGGACAAGCCTTTCTTAGACATTAATAGTGTACCTGTGTATTATCTATGAAATAACACGGGTGATACGGGTTGTTCGCTAGTGGTAGTGCACCACAGTTCTGCGATGGAATCGAACCGCAGTGCCGAAACACAGTCGTTACTCGGCTGAAACAAACAGCATCAATCCCCAGTCCAACATCTCGCATAACTCGTTGAAGTGCATGTTGATGTAGTAATGTAAACCAATATTCCGCACAAGGAACGCATTTAAACTGGCGAAATCCACAGACCAGCACAAAAACTGTCAGCAAGCCTGGGCCTTAATTTTCCAAATCACAGAAAATTCAGAAAAATATAAATTCTGGGGATGAAAGCTGTGTTACATCCACGAATGCTCCATCCAGGCATGCTCGAACTAACGGACTAATGGACTTCTTGTGAATGAAGAAAACGAAGTATCATCTGCGCTTTTTGTCCTGAATGACATATACATGCTGTTCCATTTCCATCCACACATCTCATTATCACTCAAGATGTATTTCGATCATTTGCTAACGGTTAACGCGTTTTCTCCTCCATTCAGGTCCTCTTCGACGTCAGATGCAGTAAATCAGCCACTTTCAGATGCAATTCTCGGGAGCTTCAGTCTGCATTCGATACTACTGCGATTTATGTAGTAGTAGCAAGATGGCCAAAAGCAGCAGACACGCCCAGGGCGGAATCAAATTATCGCTTTCTCGGACTGGCCACTATTTCTTTGAGTGGAATTCAAGCATCTTTGCCACAGAACACGTGTGGTAAGGACAACGTGAAAGTTTTTAATGTAAGTTGTCACTAAGCTGTGCACCATGGTCCTAAGTATGCTCAGGGAACTGGTCTTCTCTATGTGCTTACACCTTTCTTAAGGCAGCCGCATCCCATTGATAGATTTGTCATTTAACGCAACTGACGTGGTGAAGGATTATATTTTCCAGAGGAGTTGAAACGGGTTTAAATTGCCTGTGGCTCATCGGCCTTATGCTACTGTTTGTGAGAAAAACATCGTATAGCTTTAAAACAACTGCTTAATGAAGTTGTATAGATTATAGATGGCTGATTGTGGCTGTGATAAGTATCCTTTGCAATTCAATCTAAATCCCACCCTTACTGCTCTCTAAAAACCGGCAATTACTAAAGCCAGCTTCTATTCCTATCGGATGATTGCAGCCCAGCAGAGGAAGTTCGCGGCTCAGTGGGCCAACGTTGCAGACACACATGGCAGTGGATGCTGAATCTAGGTACTACTACGCAATCAGTTACTTATTCATGGCGGCCGCCTCTCATCTTCCGTCACCCACTGGTCTGAACCTCAGATTTATATGCGCTCAGTCGCGAATTTTGGCTTCACATGGGGTCAGATGGAATACACACTGCTGGCAATGAAATGGCTGTTCAGGGCTTTTCCGGATCTACAGTAGTTGTGCTGAATCTTCATCAGTAATTTATAGCCGTCAAAGACTATGTCACCGAAAGTATCAACAACGTGAAGTTGAAGGACATAAATCATAAAATGGGACTTGTGGGTTTCAAGCCAAGTCAAAAGAATTCAGCTAATTCATCATGGTCACTCTTAATCACCAGGCTTAGGCTAATCTGGAAAAGCACCAGACGCCGACGTTTCGACCTTCTGGGGCTCGTCAGTGGTGCTCCTCCCAGCCAGGCTCATCCACTGTCATGCTGTCATGGCTGGCTAGCCGAACAACCTCCTCGTGGTGCCAGCTGGGTGGTTCGGGTTTAACCCGTTCCAGCAAATAGTTCCGCGGCAGTGTTCCAGGACGTGGCGGGTTTTCGCCTGGCAAGCGTTCTTTCTATAAAAAGCCACAAATGTCTGCTTAACAACCCTGCGACGTGGCGGATGTGACTCGCCACAAACTAAAGTCACTGGCCCGTGGATATTCGGAAAATACTATCCAACCCACGAAAATCAATCGCTTATTCTCAAATTTCTGACGATAACAAACAGTAAAATATTCTGCGGCGTATTCAAAACCACAAGCTACATTCCTACACAATTACATACTTATATACACCCGTATACTTACATACACTGTTATGCCAAACATGTTCTTTTGTACAACTTGATCACACTGTGTTCGTTAAATATGATCATGCCTGTAAAGGTGTGCCTCGCGTTGTCGGGAATAAAAATTTATTTATTTATTTATTTAACTGTGCAGAGGACAATGGGTGACCCCGCGAACTAGAACTTTCCGCATAGCGCTATGCACCGCATAGGACTTAGCAACTATACTGGCAGATTTTATACTACTAATGAGTAGTGAGGATTTTTGCATAACTTTGCTATATATCATGCGTTTTGTATGAGATCGGGATTGGAAGGGGGACTCCAAAGGGGACGGGGGTGGAAAGCGAAACATACAACGCAAACACCATTGGGGCATGGCTCTTCGCCATATCAGCAAGTGTGTCCATCCAAACGTGTTCATCGTCCTTAGGACCCCAGCCAGGTAGTCGGGATGCCCCAACCGACACTAGTTTCGAAGTGAGGGTATTCATTTCTCTGGACCAAGTCATCGCTTGGCCTCTCCTTCTCTTCCAACCTCATCACCGACGCGCAAATAATGCACCTCGTGGGAGTCGGTGTGCTGGCTTACGCAGAGGATAATAAACGGCGCCCTATCTGCTGCATCGAGCAGGGTGGATAGGGGTTTGGATGCTACTGCTCAGGCCTTCCCGTCTTCTTATACCCCTTCTTGCGCTTCTGCATCCTTATTGTCCCGCTCCAACTTTACTTATATCCCCCCCATTTTCAATCCCCCAATTCTTGGCCCTCCCCCAGCTTACTTCAATAGTCGCTTGTCTTCTAATTTCAAATCACACACAATCGCAGGGCCTCGCTCCAATCCAGTCGATAAGTCCATATTCAACCAAGCGGACAACGTCAGTTCATCCGTTTCCCTTTGGAGTCCTCGTGTCTCGCTAAGATTGGCATGCCTCAACGTGCGCACCTTGCTGCAGATTGGCCAACAGGCAGCACTTGCCCGCACACTAGAGACCCTATCGATCGATATTTGCTGTTTATCAGAAACCCGCCTGCAAGATTCGAGCTCCGTGCTTACCCTGAGATCCCCCACATGCGACACTGGCGGCACATTCTCATTGCGCTTCTCTGGCGATGATGCAGCTTCAAATGCCGGTCAAGCCGGCGTCGGCATTGTTTTGGGTCCCCGGGCTGAAGCTGCCCTGCTTGATTGGATCCCAGTAAACAGTAGGATGTGCGCCGTTAGATTAGCTGGTTCGTTCCGTGCTTCGAAGTCGCGCGGGGACAAACGGTGCCTGTTTGTCATTGCGGCCTACGCCCCTACAAACTGTAGCACTGATTCGGTAAAAGATGATTTCTACCAGCAACTTCACGAGCTCCTTCGTTACAGAAGAAGCACGGATACTGTGGTGCTGACTGGCGATCTAAACGCCCAAGTCGGAAAATTGTCCTCTGATGAGCTTCATCTGGGCGGCCAACATGGTGTAGGCTCCCGTAATGATAATGGTGAGCGATTGCTCCAGCTGTGTGAAGATGCTCGCCTGTTTCTCGCGAGCACTAATTTTCGACACAGCACCCGCAGAAGTGTGACTTGGCGGCCACCAGCCTCGGGCCAGTCATGGACGCAAATCGATCATATCGCGATCAGTTACCGCTGGAGAGGCTGTGTCCAAAACTGTCGCTCGATTTGGAGCACGAGCGTGGACTCTGACCACGCACTTGTCTGTGCCGACCTCCTGATGCGCTTCGGTGGACGTCCGCAACGTCGATGTGAACGGATTGACACTAGCCAGCTGGCGAAGCCAGATGTTCTGAATGTGTACCAAGATGCGCTGACATCTGGGCTGAGTAAGCGCCCACTAAACACCGTTGAAGATCACTGGTCGCACACTCGTCAAGCGTTGCTATTAGCAGGCATGTCTTCATGTGGCAAAACAAATTGCCAAACCGGACATTGGGTCTCTACACAGTCTCTGGAACTTATGGATGCTCGCCGACGTATTCCGGCTGGAAGCGAATACAATGAATCTCGCAAAAATCTCAGGGCGAAACTACGTGCTAGCCTAAAGAAGGACCGCGAAACCTGGTGGTCTCATCGTGCATCTGAGATGGAAACAGCCGCTGCCATTGGTAATCATCGTAAGTTATACCGTCTGATACGGGCAACAGGTAGCAGGAGACCTGGTGTTAGCGAGACCATACGCGACGAGAGTGGGCAGATTATCCACAGCCTGTCAAAACGCTTGGAGCGTTGGGCTGAACACTTTGCTATGCAATTTAACCAACCTGAGTTATCACTTTCTTCGGGCATTGAATGCCCTTCTCCTTGGGCCGTCTCCTTGGATCCGCCCTCACGCGCTGAAGTCGAACGTGAGATCAGGCTGTTGAAATTGCATAAGGCCGCAGGAGCAGATACTATTCCTCCAGCCCTCTTCAAGTTCGGTGGACCTGCTCTAATAGGTGATCTACACGAGTTGCTAGTAAAACTTTGGGAGCAGGAGACAGTCCCGACAGACTGGAACCGCTCCGTCATTGTCCCAATTTTCAAGGGAGGCTCCCGTTTGGTATGTGGCAATCATAGAGGGATCAGTCTGATTTCGATTGCCTCTAAATTGCTTGCCTCTCTCATTCTCCACAGACTGACTGGCACTCGTGAAAGCCAAATTCGTGAAGAGCAAGCCGGATTTCGTCGAGGTCGGGGCTGCATCGACCACATCTTCACATTGCGTCAAGTGTTGGAGCACCGCCATGTTTATTGGCGACCCACCGTTGTCGTGTTTCTTGACATAAAAGGTGCCTTCGACTCAGTCGATCGATGTGCCCTTTGGGACTGTCTGTTGAGGAAAGGTGTGCCTGATAAATATGTAAACATTATCAAAGCGCTGTACGCACATAGTTCGGGCAGGGTGAGGGTTTATGGCAAACTCTCGCCACCCTTCAGTATCACCAGCGGTGTGAGACAAGGATGCCCGCTGTCACCTTTCCTCTTCAACTTCGCTATTGATGAAGTCATGGAAACAGCGTTCGCTGGACACGACCTAGAAGGTGTGGAGCTACTCCCTGGTGAGCGACTTCTTGACTTGGAGTATGCAGACGATATTGCCCTAATCTGTGACGGCTCCCAAACATGCCAAACAGCACTGAACCGATTAGCACTGGCTGTCAGTCGTTTTGGGCTATGCTTTGCTCCATCAAAATGCAAAGTACTTCTCCAAGATTGGCAGGGACCCAATCCTGCGCTAACGCTTGGTGGTGATCTGCTAGAAGTCGTTCAGGAATTCAAGTACCTGGGCAGCTATATTAGCACCCGTGGGATTGAAGATGAGGTTACGAACCGTATAGCAAAAGCTCGAGGTGCTTTTGCCAATCTCCGCCACCTGTGGCGCAGACGCGACATTACTCTCGCCCTCAAGGGCAGAGTTTACAACGCAGCCGTCCGTTCAACTCTCCTATATGGCTGTGAAACCTGGCCCATCAGGTCGACAGACATGAAGAGACTCGTCACGTTCGATCATCGCTGCCTTCGCAGCTTAGCTCATGTCTGGTGGGAACACCGCGTGAGCAATGAGCGTGTTCGACGTCGCGTATTTGGTGCAGGAAGAGCGAGTGAACCGCTCAGCACGATTATATCACGCACCAGGCTCCGATGGCTGGGCCACGTGTTGCGCATGCCAGCACACCGACTCCCACGACGTGCATTGTTTGCGCGTTGTGGGTGCGGTTGGAAGAGGAGGAGGGGAGGCCAAGTGATGACTTGGTCGAGAGAAATGAAAACCCTCACT